CGGATTTCGCGAGTTCAAAATTTGAACTCTCTCAGGGGGGAGTAGTGTGGCGAAAAGGTCCCTAGACGGGTCCGCGACACGTTAGATTTAGTTAGCTAGTAAGTTGTGTTGTTACTTAGTTGGTAAGATTAGTTTTTAAGTTTACCTCCCCTTCTTCTTAACGGTAACGGAAAAATACTTCTCACAAAGTGTTACCTCCGAACGCCTCGTGGTTTCATACAGAAAAGAACGGTTCGTAAAAGTGAGGTGAAATAAACGATCAGAAAGAACACGTGGCTTATTTATTTCAACAACAGCATAAGCTCTCCCCACACCCTGATTGCTACTGTCCTCTGCTGGCAGATCGCACATTCAAATTTAAAAAATCAAATGCTTTCATTACATCACTGACCGAAAAAAAGTGATTTACTAATGTGTTGAACTCCATTGCCAGTGCATGCACTGTCCGAACGATTATGGACTCTGCCACGCTTTAGTAGTATCTCCTCGGTAATTATATTCTCTGTCAAATATCTTATGGCTTTTTATCATTCGAAATTTGAGTGCAAGCATATTAAACTCTTCTACTGGATTTCATAAGCTCCCAAGTGAACCAGCTTTCAATCAAACTTCTGTAATCTTTATAATTTACTTTACAACGTGCGAAGTACTTTTACTTGCAATTCACGGGATACAAGGGAATAAATCTCTCAAGCAATTACAATCGTGAAGTTTTATAAAGAACAGAAAAAACCGATCATATCCTCGAATTCAGCGATGTTTAGAGAGAAACAGGATATGTGTCGGTAGCGCTATGCCCTGTCGCCAATCACGGCCAGTACCGAGCATCGACGTGAATCCTTTGTGTCCTGCAGACCCTTTTAAGATCCTCTTTCTGGCTCTCGAGAATCCAGAGACTCGGTGGCCATTTCTGGACGTCCATTAAATATAGAAATGAGCCTTCGAAGAGCGCCAGCGAACGGGTTCGAACCAGATGCACTCCGGCTGGGGTCCGACCATCGTAGGAAAGGACGAACAGAAAATAAGAATGAGCAAGGAAGAAAGGAGCGTAGAGGAAAAGAGAGAGCCGGGTCAGACTGGGCCACGTTTAGCTGAGGTCGCCCCAGGGCCCCCCGGGCCCCCGGACCATTAACAAGGAGCGGAGCAATTTATGGACCGGCTCGCTCATTTCCACTTTATTATTATTTTCTCATCTCATAGATGGTCTACTCCATCGTTTTGTTCCCTGCTTCGTTCGCTCTGCCTCGCCGTTCTCCTCTCTTCTGTTTCCCTCCCGTCTTCCTCTTCTTCTCTCTCGGAATTAATACCCACGGCACACGGCCAGTGGCGCACTACCACTCGTCGATGAGTCTCGAATGGAACTCTCTGGACCGGGCAAAAAACTGCAGAACGCGAAATATTATTGCCCGGGACCGCCTCCTTCCCTACTTCCAAACCAATCGTCGATAATACGCTCTGCCGCGTTTTGCTGCCTTTCGCTAATTTCGCAGGGTTACCCACTCTGCCCAGAAATGGTTCATCCTCGCATTCCCTCCACGCAAATATGATCATATCTACTGTTTCAAAACCTACCTACTTAATGTCAATGTCAGAAGTTGATCCGATTTCAATGTTGCATATTTATACGTTTCAATTTAATGTTTGATAATCGATATTTGAAGGAACTGGAAGAACTCAACTCGAGAGTCGTTGTCGATATTGACAGTACTTTTCAGCCCTCAATGCACTCTAACGTTCGACTGGCAAAACAGTAGTATGGTATGCACACACCATCGCTTTTTCTTTTATATAACGTCGCGCGATGCCGCCGTTCGACCCAATAAATCCTCGAATTCGTTTTAAACGTTCCCAAATGACAACGCGTGCATACGCTTTTTCGTAGCCCGCAGCACCCGGTCCATTCAATCTCGATCGGCCGCGAGCTCAAAGATGAGCTCTCCATTTTACGACCCGGTCGCGGACGCACGGTTGCCGAACGAAATAGGCGGCTTTCGTTGCCTCTTCACCGGGATGGAGGATGGACCCGTGCCTCGTAAGGGTCCCCTTACCCTTCGTTTTTTATTTCCCGTGCTCGGGTCCCTCACGGCTCGTCGTCGCGCCGTGCCGCGCTGGTGCGCGTCGTTTTCGCTCTTTTCTAAGGCTGGCTCGCCCATTGGCGCAAGGGTAGTTGTTATGAAATTAGCATGAGCGATCGGGCCGAGGCTACGTTGGTAATCGCTTCGAGGGCACCACGTCGGGATTGGACAAGCCGGCTGGTACCGGATGCTTTGCCCGGTGCCGCCAATCGTGGGCCCCGAGACGGTACCATTGCCACGTCCCATTGGCCTGCCACGATTTACGAGCGTTTTGCCCCGAACGTCTTTGCCCCATCGATGAAGAGGAGATCTTACGCTCTTTCCGCACGCAGCACCCCCTTTCCGTTCTCTCTATCTTTTTCGTTTGTGTAACCGGAGTTGCAATTAAGAGTTCCGATGTCTCAATGGGAGCTTCGGGCCGAGATTGCACCGCGTGCTATGCATCTTTGAACGGTCGACTTGCCCGGCTAACTAATTGCGTTCATTAGGCGATGTCATTCACGTGGGATACGGAGTTTCGCTAAGGGTGACGGTAATAATATTGCAATTCGCGATCGGCAGGCGTATTCCGATGGTTTTTCGTTAGACTCGAAGTCCATTACTCGAGAGGGACTGATTGAAATAGAATTCAATTTACGTTGCAATATGCAGGGCTTCAAGAGTGTTCGATTTGAAGAAGATATCTTTGAAATTTGATGCATAAATCGTAGTTTCAATTACTAACGAAAAGCGGTACATCTGTTCGCTTTTGGCCAAGTGGCAGCAATTTTATTGAGACGTATATTTATGGCTACTGTAATTGAAGGGACGGAGGGCAACCGTGTACCCAGTCGTTGCTATAAATTACACAACGCGTTCATTCGTTATTCGTTTATTATCCCATCTTGTATCTCTCATACCATTCTATCGTATCTTTATTAATTAATAAAGCGTTGCAACTTTCAAACTTTCATTCAATTTCGACGATGCCTTCGATTAAAAAATAGATGAACGATTAATACTTTATCGAGTATAATCTATCTCGTTTGTTGTACAAAAATTATGAGATTACTATACTTTATTCCGAAACAAATTACGTGATACCTATAGAAAATATTGAGCAATTTAGTTTTAATATTGTCAACACGGAATCTATGACACGAGGGTACATGAATGTTCGTCTGTAATTTAATCGAAGACTGATTAAAGGGAATTTGTCAAGGGATTTCTACAGCAACGTCGAATCCAATTAGCCGTTCCTTCCAGCCGTTCAGAAATTACTTCACGCATTAATACCTCGATCTCGCCTCACGCGTTTCCATGTAAACTCGATCGATCATCCCAAGTACAAGTGAAAGAAACGGGTTGTAACATTTACAGGAAATCGGAATTTCCACGTGTCGTGACGTTATCTCACCGTGGATCGATTAATTTCATGATACGGGTGTTACGTTTGACGTGCAACACGACTGAAAGTGACACCCGTCGCGGCGGCGGCGGCGGCGGCGTGCCGGTGTACGCGTTCACGCAACGCGAATCAAATGGTAGGGAAAGTTTTTTCGCTCTTGTTTCGAGGGCCCGACGCGACGTTCGGACAAGGCCCCGAGTCGAATGATGGATTCCCGTCACGTAGCCAGTTCGCTAAACGTACCCGCAGAAATTCTCCCCAGTGCGCCTGTACGTGCCACCATAAACAACGTTATTATCGATAATCTTTTATGTAAATTATCGATACGAATCGCCGACACACGAAGCAATCAACTGGCTTTAACGTCTGGTTCAAAGACAGTCAGCTTTAATGATTGCCAATATGCCGCAAGATATAGTAGCATTGTGAAATACTTTACAACGTCATTGTATGTTATTTAAAATTTT